AACCCAACCAGATTCCTATGGAGTGGAGCCATGCTCGGTCCATGATGCCCCTAGTTCCTATTTTCGCTGCCTTTATCTTGTTGTCTTTATCTCTCAATAGTGCCATTAATGGCCCTGATGTATGTTTCAAGCCAAAGTGGCTGTGTAATGCTTCGACGTGATGCCATGTTGCTCATGCCCATCAGTGTGATATCCTGGGTTGGTGTGAATAGAGTGCCCAGACACTGTGCGCTGAGGTGCATTGCTACACTCCTACTCCAGCAGGAAATTGTCGTCCACCAGTGCCTCAATTCTTTTCCCCTCAACGTGAAGTCATCCACTAGGCGATCGCCATGAGAGTGGAGAGAAAAAAGGGGGGTTGGGAGAAACCTGCTGATGAGGACGTGGTATGTCAGTACTCTACAGACCCCATCTCCTCCGAGCAAAAAAGGGGAAGGAGTGTCTTGTTGCAAACTAGCGATGGTTGTCGTGACAAATATATTTATGAATGAGTAAAGTTGGCATGATCTAACAAATTCGATAGAAGGTTAAATTGAAGTTTGCTTACATTCTCAAGACTTATCATCTTGATCCCAGCTAATAGTTCTATGATAATAATGCCCAAAGCATATATGTCTGATTTGAACGATATTTCTCCTTTGTCTATGATTTCTGGTGCAATATACCGCCTACATGCATCAATTTGATAGTCAATTTAAATTCTTCTTGCACAAAGAATATTTAATTTGCAGATATGTCAAGAGGCTAGCTTAGCTTACGGTGTTCCACAGATGTTTTGCGTAATCATTTTGGATATTCCTTGATCTAAGAACCTCGATAGACCAAAATCTGCAATTTTGGCCTCCATGTGAGCATCCAACATGATATTTTCGGGTTTTAGGTCTCGATGATTAATTTTATTGTCATGGAGATATTGCAACCCCTCGCAAATCCCTCGAATCAGTTGGTAGCGTGTAGGCCAGTGATTTTCATGAGATTTATCTGCAAAAACAAGCTAAAGATCATTCATACTTTGTAACATCTGCTTCATTCACACCCATGTTAGTTCTGCACAAAAAGTTAATTAGGTTATGTGAAGAGATAAGAGGTTATCCGTTATGCATTACACAACGAATAAGCATGAAATAATAATTTTTCTCTTCCCCATCTCTATCCCTACCCTATCCACACTACCACCATATAGATACCTAGTGGCTTAGAATCACTTTATTTCGCATCTATAGCTATAGCTATACCCCCTATATGGTGTATGAATAACTTTGAATATTGATCATTGGTATTATATGTATCCAACAGTGGAGAATCGATAAAACCGAGTGTCCTTGAGCATTGGATCAACTCTTTTGTTGCTCTAGATCTAGCCATGTGGAAGCTACCATGATATCTCCCCGGGCCTTGCTTGTTCTAGAACCATGGTCATAGTCAATAGATTGAGCTAGTGTCGACCTTTCCTAGATGGGCCAGACAAGCCATCATCGGAATTCACTAAGTGATACCTGCTGACGACTCCGCAATACTCTATGAGTGAGACATTCACGGTGGGTAGTATCATAATAAATTAATATCATAGTTCATGATACCACTTTACTCCTTCTCATTGCATAATATCATACTTCCTCCACCCCAAAATAAGCGTCTCGACTTTAGTACACTTTTGAGACACTTATTTTGGGACGGAGGGAGTAGTTTTGTACAGTATCATACTGTCATCTTATTTATCAATTAGTAGAATCTCAATTTGAAATTGTTTACAAGATCCATCCAGCATCATTTCCACGTTCTATATGTTATGATATTGTATCATAGTATGATACTACTACCACCTCTCTCATCATTAATGGTAGTAGTACATCATCCTAATTCTTATGTGATAGATACTACAAGTGGGGTAGCCTAAGTCCGACGAACAACACCAGTATGCTCTACATAATTTAACACTTTGCACCAGTAAAAGATGGTTCATAGATAAGTGTCCCAATTCAGCAAACTAGGCCTACACTTCAATGCCTTGTGAAGGCCACCCCACTCTATTTTCTGCCCATTTCTGCACCACGCCTGTCCTATCCTCCATCCTGCCTCATCTCAGTCTCTATGAGGTGGCTTATAAGGCTAGAGCCAAATCCTCTCCTATGTTATCCCCCAACTATCTGTGTTAATGGAACTAGGACACTATTTGGTGAGGCTACATGCCGGGCAACTATCGCTTCTTCCATAAAAAGACTAGGAATGTAACAGTGACGCAATATAATTGATGTTGGATTTAATGACTTGACAAATTCAAAAGCTACACCACGTCCTAAAAAGGAAGAGATACTTACTTGGATTAGTAATACTTCAAGAAAAATGACCTCAAAATTTTGAACGTAAATAGAGAATTGTGAGCTATGTGTACCTTGTTCAAGATACTGTCGAATATTACCATTCGGAACGTATTCAAAACAGAGCAACCTATTCCGCTGTCCCGCCATCACAAATGTTCCATCCAATGGCATCATTTCCTCTTGGGTATCTGCACAATAGCCTAGAAATCTTACTATATTCTTGTGATTTGCGCCTTTTAAACACTTGATCTCATCCATGAATTGCTTATCAGTAACCTTATACGCATTGGACATCTTCACAGTGACTGCCCCGGTTTTTAAATCTCCCTGTTTTGCTCATGGTATTAGGATTTCACCGCAGCAAAAAATTATGTAAAAATTTATGATTTGCAAGGTCATCAAGAACATACTTTACCTTGTACACAACTCCAAACCCACCGCGACCAATTTCATTTGAAAACTTTTTTGTAATCAATTTTAGGAGTCCATAAGATAGCTTGATCGACTCTGCACTTGGATCACTCAATACGCCCTCCAGGGCTTCAAGTTCACGTGCTTGATCATCATCCATTTCTATAAAAAAAAAATACCCCCTCAAGTAAGACCAAATGCGGTGGTTCTTACTTTTAGATAAAGTGCATACAATAGTTCTTAATTGGCATGAACTTGTAAAAAATATGTTACTAATAGCTCCATTGAAATAAGGATGGTCTACAACGAAACTCAAAACGTACAGATGGTCATTTCCAACCAGGGCGGGAATGATCGTTTTACACACAAACAAAGTACAGGTTAGGCTCACTGTTATGTAAGATATCAAGTTGTTTCACGTTTGTGCTCTTCCGTAGCAATTTGGACGCGGTACGTAAGTTGGTCAGACTAGTGAACAAAATGTGCAAGACAATTTCATTCTAGAAGCAATATGAAGGTCTTGGAATAAATGACTTTCTAGGAAACATATGTGCTTCTTCCTTAACAGGCCATTAAATTTTCGACAATGTGCTGCGGTAGAAACAATTCATGCCCATGTTCGAAAAGAGGCCATCATGCGCATCTGGTTTGGATTGTTCGGAAATGGGATCCCAAGCATGAATGAAAAGATAAATTAAAGAAAAAAAAGAATAAATAAGTACAATATTACAAACTATAAAAAGTACTCCCTTGGTTCAGAAATATTGAACTAAAACCACGACACTTGCTTTGGAACGGAGGCAGTATTCGACAAACAGAGATGAAACACTGACCTGGAAGAAGTGTGCGGAGACGAAGGGAGAGACGGGATCAAGATGATTGGCTTTGGGTTTGAGGTGTAGTTAAAACAGAGCAGCGGCTGGAGGCTGGAGCAGAGGAAGTGAGAATCGATGGAGAAGAGCCAAGTGAAAGTGACGAGGGACAAGACAGAGTGGGAGTCCGGCCTGTGCCAGCATTGGATAGTCCGGGCGGTGGTTCCAAGGCTTGGAGCCTAGGTAGAATTGGAAAAGTTAAGTATATACTAAGTACTCCCTCCGTTCCGAATTACTCGTCGTGGTTTTAGTTCAACTAAAACCACGACGAGTAAATCGGAACAGAGGAAGTACAAGGTAACGTTGGTTTAGCCTCCCTTGTACGCGCTCAGCCTTGGACTTTAATGTAGTGTCCAACCTTTTATTCATCTTTGGACAAAACGATCATCAAAGGTGTCAGTCGTTGGTTTTATTTTTCCAACTAAGAGGTCTTCTCATCTCCTTGACAATGCATGATACACACGCTTTTGCATATTTAAAAAAAATACTCCATTATCCTGTGAGTCCCCAACAGAGGCACTTATCAGAAATGCTTTTTAGAAGTTACTCCCTCTGTAAACTAATATAAGTGATCTAAAGGATTTTATATTAGTTTAATGATCATCCATCCCATCCTGGCAGTGATCTCAAGGTTGCTTGTAGTGGTCACGGATGAAATCCGCATTTCCCCCTTGTAAATTATTCTTCATCTTCTATAAAATATGATACGGAATTTGCGTATTCTTGAGGAAAAAGAACTTTTTACCCAACACTGGATTGCAGTGCACCTTGTCAACGGTGAGAGCTTCTCATGTACTACCTCGTTCCTAAATGTAAGCCTTTTTAAAGATTCCAATATGAACCATATATGAATCAAAATGAGTGAATCTATACTCTAAAATTTATCTATATACATTTGTATGTAGTTCATATGAAAATCTCTAAAATAGGCTTATATTTAGAAACGGATGGACTGGTACGTACACAGGAGAGCTGTCTCGATTCCTCTTTGTTTTACAACTTGTATTAGTATAGTTGACAATTTTCCAAAAAAAATTTATCAAGGGTGAAGCATCAAGAAGGGACGCAGCTTCAGTGCCGTAAAGGCACCTGCCTTTGGGTCCCTGACATATGGGCCAGCCACCTGTTGGGCCCACGTGTCATAGGCACCGAAGCGCAGTCCATCAAGAAGCAGATCACGTTGGGATTTCAGCACAGGAAAGCATAGACTGATAGACAAACGAGCGAGCCGGTTCTTTCTTAGATAAACAGCAAGGGGTAGTAGACACAGGAATTTACATCAACCGGCTTGCGTACCTTAAAACTAAAGCAAACGCAATTAACTAACGCGAGATCCAGCGCTCAGTCTGAACATTGCAGAGAGGCACTACCTCCACCTCGCCGCGTGATCCACCCGTCAGGGGCCCCTGCGCGGCCTGAGGCAGGAGAGGCACCCGATGCCCCGCGCCTGGTCCACGGGGATCATGCCCCCGCCCTTGGACGTGTCGATCGCCTCCAGCATCGTCACCACCTCCGCCATCTCCGGCCGCTTGTCCGGGTTCGCGTCCCAGCACCGCTTCATCACGTTCGCAAACGCGCTCGGGCAGCACCGCGGGATCTCCGGCCTCAGGTTCTGCAGATCAGAGGTCATGTTTGTATTGTTCTCAAGCACCCACCGGTTCAGAAATCATCAGAAAAATAACAAGTACATCTAGGTAGAACTGCAGGTCTGTTGTACCTGACGAACAACAGCGGACGTGACCTCCGAGAAGCTCAGGTCCGCGTACGGCATGTCGCAGCAGTACACCTCCCAAAGGCAGATCCCGAAGCTGTAGACGTCACACTTCCTGTTGTAAGCGTTGCCGTTGAGAACCTGCACATCAGATGCCAACGATATAAGGCATGTATTGTAACATGCAGGGGGGCTGTTTGATGCGAAAATGTCGGATTTGTACTAGATTAGTTTGCGCTGCGATTCAGATAAGTAACAGCAAAATGGAGTAGAAACTATGAGAGAATAGATACCTCAGGTGCCATGTAACCAAGGGTGCCTGTTTCGCCTGTCATGTCGCTGGGGTTTGCAGCCTCATGGCGAGCAACACCAAAGTCCGCGATTTTTACAGTTCTTGTTTTGTCAAGAAGCATGTTTTCGGTCTTCACATCACGATGCACAATTTTCTTCGAGTGAAGATAGCTTAATCTGTCAAACATTTAAAGATCAGTATTCCTCAAATCAGTGAGAACTTTGGAGGCCAGCGGGAGTCTAAGACTGATGAGAATGCAGTGACTGCTTACCCCCTGGCAAGGTCGAGAGCTATCTGGACCACAACTTTGAAAGCCAGCTTCCTTCTCCTGTTCTTTATCAGAAATGTTTTCAGTGCACCTCCAGCAAGGTACTCCACAATGACACAGCAAACATTACTTGGCATGCCGATGTTTCCATCTTCTGTCTGAATATTCAGATCCCCAGCACCCATTATAGCCCCTATAAACTGTACAGGAAAATTGAAGCTGTTGTTAGGACAAACTGTCATGTTTGATATGCCAAATGGCAATACTTGTCCAGTATATTAATACTTGAAACAAATGAATTTAGGTGTCAATAATGACATAGCCAAAGGAATATACTAGATAAGCTTGCTGAGATACGGTCAAGCTTTAGATGGGTTAATCTTATTCTGATATAACAATTGTCAAAAGATATAAATCTTACTGACAAGTGAGGTGCAGCAGCCCTGGTTCCATCATTACAACATGACAAGTGAGAGGTGAAAACATTTGATACATGTGAATGAGAACTAATATTTTATCTAAGCAGACAATGTACCACAGCTTCTATTCTAGTGGCTTACACAGAACTTACTGAAAACTTCTTAATTTGTTAGAGGCCTAACTAAGGAAGCTAACGTTTATACAGGGATAGTTAACGACTTTATCGCTGCAATGTGTGTGTATTGTGTTTAGACCGCAAGTATCAGTCGTCAGCCCCACCACTGAAGATCCGTTTCATTTTAATCATCATTTTTCCAATAATCGATAAAAATGCAACAATGATGTGTGTCAACAAGCGAAAAGGATTAACAAAATTAAATTGACGGAAATACAATAACGTGTCAAGTCAAAGAGTACCTTGGTTACATTTGGATGATCAAGCTTATGCCAGACGGAGACTTCTTGTGAAAAAGCTGCTCTTATTGATGTTATTTCTTGCTCTGACCTATGACCATCCTCCCCCCACTCAAGCAGTTTCACTGAAACATAACTGGTGTTAACCATCCATGCTCAAAACTGACAGTTCGAACAAGAGCTTTCAACTTCCACAGCAACTATTGTCCCAAAAGAGGAATCGATGTGAAACACTGCTTTCGGGATTGAGAGGTGAGACAGCAAGAAAGAGAGAGGAGGGGGACGGGCTATTTGCTACAGAAAATCTGCATAACCTGTCCTGGGATATATGGGTCGACAACAGCATACTGACTAGAGTGCTGTCTAGGCTAATGAGGTAAGATTATCCACTACTGAAATACCTTTCTTTATGTCTTTCAGTTCAAGTGCTTACAGGATTTAAAAAAAAATCAACCTTATCACAGTCCAGATTTTTCCCACGAGGGTTTAAATTGATTTCCATCGCAGAGCAATGCGTGCGGGAAAATCGGAAGGGGGCAAGCCCTTCTTTGATAAAAAAAAAAAGAGCAATGCGTGCGTACAGCTTGAGGGTTGCAAAATGTCGTGCAATTGCATCTATAGACAGAGTCGACCTGGCGAGAGAAATGCCGAAAAGCTACAGATTGCATCACTTGATACTGGTGATGTGTAGCTATCAGAGATCACAAGAACGACCCGGACATGATATGGAACAAGTGGTTCGGGATCACATGAGCGAGCCAAGTGAAGGGCACGCCGAAGACGAAGACCGCCCTGTCCAGCACTCCAACTGGTGTCACGGGGAGCGTACGCACCCCGTGATTTGATCGGAAGGCCGGCCACCAAGAAAAGGCAGCGGCACCAACCCGCGCGACTTGCTAGAAGCGGAAAGTAAAGGAGGAGCTCGAGACACATCGGCGGGCGGGCGGGTGGGCGCGCGGCACCTATCGAGTGAGTCTCGTGTCGCCGCAATCGGCCGGCGGCGCCGCGCCGGCACGCACGGGCATTCCGTCGAACAGCGTATGGGCGCGCGCGGAGTCGCCGCTGGACTGGGCTGGCTGTGTGCCCGCGTGGCGAGTGTCCGTGCGCGCAATGAACACGCGTGCAGTGAACGAACGGGGGATGGAGGGGAGGGGAGTGGGGTAGAGGAGATGGTGGCGCGGACCTGCGACGTCGAGGCCGTCGTAGACGCCGCGGTGGACGGTGCCGAAGGTGCCGCGGGCGATGACGCCCCGGACGACGAGCCTGGCGGGGTCGGCCTCCCAGTCCTCCCGCCTGCGCTCCTGGCCGTCGCCGGCGCCGCGCTTGGGCTTGTCCATGGTCCATGCGCGCGCGAGGTGGCGGTCGAGCTGCTCGTCGAGGCTCTTGAGGTCGATCTGGTCGGCCCGCACGAACCCCCCGGCCCCGTCCCCGCCGCCGCCCACAGCCGCCTCCTTCATCTCCCGACCTCCCGCGCCTCACTCACTCACTCACTCACTCACCGCGACCGCGGCTAGGCTAGGCTAGGAGGAGCAGTGAGGATGGATCGGCGAGCATGTGAGCGGAGCACATGGGGCTGCCTGCCTGCCTGCCGGCCTGGGAATGGTGGCGGGGGAGGTAGGGGGGCGTCGTGTCGCGCGGAGAGGCAGAGGGCCCAGCGGCGCGTGGAGAAGGAGAGGGAGAGGGGTGGATTTGGTTGGGTTGGATTTGTGCGTCGTTTTTTCACCGTGATCGCGCCGTGTTTCGCTCGCCTGCCTGCGCAGGTGTACTTATACGCGGCGCGCGGGGAGGGGAAGAGGGACCCGGTGACGGCGCACGGGGCTGGCGGGACGGGAGGCCGACGGGTTGCGGTCGTGGATAGGATAGGGGTGCGTCTTGGCTCGCCAACTTAATCACCGTTTGACATATCTAGGCTTGTGTTAAGTCTCTAGCTCGCCTTTTACCGAACCAAGCCGATCACTGATTTAAGCTCGTGAAATTGCTTTACACGCGATCTTTGTACATAGGATCTCATGTGTCTCTACTAGACTCCACGCTGCATTCCTGTTCTTTTCCCCGATGAAGCTGGTTGATTGGACGAAAGCACATGCAACAACAATCGTGCGTGTGCTCAGACGTGAAAATGTCGTGCGCATAGCAGGGCTCTTAAGCTCGTTTAAGTCTCTTGCGAGCTGCGGACACGGTTGATCACATTACCGTGCAGTGCACCTACGCGCAGGAAGCTTGGTAGTACCGTTGCTTCGACTGGCTGCAGATTGCCATCCAAAGCCCGGCCAGTGATGACACATTCGTGGAGTGGTGGCTTCGGCAGCGACACGTTCGTCATCTGCACAGCCTGGACGCAGCGGAATGCCCCGCATCTTTGATCGAGTACAGCAGCAGGTAGGTCCGTAGGTGGATGCCCGGACCATTGCCAACATGATTCTGGATGAAATCAAGGAGTGGAGGGCCGCTCGTGATGGAGGGGGAGGATCGACCCGTTTTTGTGAGAGAGCGTACGGGATAAAACCGCACTCGTACTATGTTACTAAGTGCATGCAAGCATTCACGAGCTTCAAACGAATAGAGTCGAGCAGCTTCTTTTATCATTGGACTTAACGAGCCCACCAGCTCGTGTTGATCCATCCCTACTTCATTCCCCTTTCATCAGTTATGACAAAACTCATTTACTAATAAGATGATGTTTCTCTCTCTTTTTTTTCTCATTGATTGATGAACACGGAGCTTAATACAAGAAAATATGCTCCGGAATGGAAACAAGGAAGTCCCCACACCATCTGGATTCAATCAAACGACCCGGTTGGAGGGATTTTTACCGGTTCCGCAACCAACCTTTGTCTAAAGTCCAAGGTCCGGACCACCAAATTGCATTTGAACTACTCCCTCCGTTCGAAATTACTTGTCACAAAAATGGATATATCTACAACTAAAATACATGTAGATACATTCATTTCTTGGACGAGTAATTCCGAACGGAGGGAGTATCTCTGAAAGTACAAGCATACAAAAGTTCAGCTTGGCGTAAATCTGAAAGTTCAATTAGTTTGGAACGGAGATGATGCTAATGTGGAAACTCAAAACTATCAGTATGATGATCCCATAAAGAAATACCGGGCCCTGAACATCTTTTCTTTTTTGGACCTCAATAATGCCCGAAGGTTCGGGATTTGACCATGGCAATTTTACTGACACAAGCCCTAAACGTCTTCGATGGCAAATTTAGTGACACGAGCATGGCAATGTTAGTCGGCAAGCATGACAACTCTGTGCTCAGTGTATTTTCTGTCAGAAAATTGTCATGCATGTCAAGTAAACTTGTCATCCCCGCATCACTAAAATCATCATAAGAAACGTCTGATTTATCATGGTTAAACCCGAACGTACGGGATTTACCATTGCCGGTTTTTTCTTCGTGAGGGAGCCCTCTGCCAAGGACATGCGTGGTAAACAACGGACGAGACGGAGGTTAGGCCGCGTGAAACGACGTGCCGGGTGAAAACTAACTTATTTTGTCTCCTGCCCCGCATGGATCGATCTTCCTAATCCAAGGTGCCACCGGCCCCATGGTTCCATCCATGCTTAATTATCCCAACAACTACTCGTGACGTCCATAAACGACGATCGACACACCAGGGACATTGATTCATATGGCCCTAAGGCTGGTCGTAATGGTAGTATCATAGATAGTATCATGCATGCCAACTAGGCAAATTTGATGAGGTGGCATAGAATTGAATGAAGAAAGAGAGGATTGAGTATCATATTATGATACCGTATCATATTAAATGATGTGCTACTATGTGTCATGCATGACAATAAATAAAGTTAATTATGATACTAACTTATGATACTATGCACTACGGATGTAGTATCATACACTAGTATCATATGCATGATACTAGTATATGATACTAGCCATTACGACCAGTCTAAGGCTAGCCATAGTGGGAGTAACTTAGGTAGTAACATAACACATTCCAAGACATATATGCTTATGTGGCATGGAGTTAATGAGGAGAAAGGTATTTGTGGTAACATGATATGTTACCATAACATAACGCACCCCAATGCAAAACGAGTCTACAACATAATAAATGAAGGCTTGCATGATACTATACTTATGTTACTACCCAATATGATGGTAGTAACATAGACTAGTAACATATGTATGTTACTAGTCTAAGTTACTATCCACTATGACTAGCCTAATTAGTTAGGGGTCTCTGCTAGTACTACTCAAGTTGACGGGCAAGGCATATGGTCTGACAAACTAATTCAACCCTAGCTTAGCTACAGGGTTGAGTACTTGGCGTAGCTTGGTTTTTATGGCATAGTCTCTCCGCACCAATGGTCA